TATATCTCAAACTGATGTATATCTCAAACTGAGTTTTCCAGCAGTTAATGTGCTGGAGAACTCAGTTCAATTAATGTGACAACTATTAACACAAATCCCTGCTGTAGTTAAATCTGGTTATCTCAAAAGTGCCACTTAGTGTGCCACCTCCAAGCAAACAGAACTATTATTCTAACTATCATGATGACCAACAAATCTTACCTCAGGAGGCAGCATGTTCCAATATAAATTGGTCAATACGACTGCTTTTCTGAGGCTATTAGTTCTGAACAGATGTAGTATAAAAGTAACAACATGAGCTTGTCGTGTACTGAAATCAACAGAATTTTAAAGCCATGTTGTTAGGAAAAGGCTGTAGAGATGGTAAATCTTTTTGTTGATCACCTGCTTCAGGCCATGTTTTCCCTTCACTGATGCTCTTTGTGTCCACCGCTGTCAAATTTGCTCTTTTTGATAGATTCAGCTAAAATATGAGAACACACAATGAATGAGCCTATTAATTATTCAGTCCTTCTGAGGTTGAATGATTAATAGGTCAATGTTAAGTGGCTTAACAAAGAAAAATCATTTCACTGAGTATTGTCAGGATTTCAAACAGAAGAAAATATCAGAGACCTTCAGAAATCCTGGCAAGCTATAAATTAATATCAAGCATACAGAGCACTTGTCTTGACAGCCAAAGTTGAGTTCTGAATTTTAAGATTTGCTGTTTTTACTTTATCCATCCATCTCTAGATGGATGGATAAAGTAGAGCAATAGAGCAATGACCACAATAATGTTTAAATTAAATTTTAAAAATTGTGCAACTCTAATTTTAAATTGTAAAATTAGAATGATTAAAATGGAAAATATGTAGGGAATGGTGTTTAACCACTATTTAGTTTAACATGGTGTTTCAAAACAGACTCCAACTTTAGGAATCAACTAGTTGAGACCATTACTCTGGCAAACTAAATGGACTCCTCATGAGCTTTAGTTTTATTGAAATTAAAGCTCCATCACATCACTGCTCTGTCTCATTCATTTATTTTATTCATTTGCTTTTTGAGTTTCTCATCATTTGTCCCTTTTGTTCCTCATTTTGTCTTCCTGTGTCACTGCTCTCACACTGTGCTCAGTTATTGTGGTTGGTGCCTTTGCCTCAAGTCGAGGTCTGATTGTCCCTCGGACGGGGCTTACTGGATGGAACCAAGCACCTACACAGTGCCATACACCTGCCCTGCCTGCCAGAAACTAGAACAAGATGAGTTCAATCGGCAGAGCCATCTCCATCAGTGTGTTGCACCGCTGCAGCAGCCGCCACCTTCACAACTGGAGCACTCTCTGCCACCACCTCACTTTGAAACTCTTATCACTTAGTCAGGGACTCGCTCACTTCCTGTTGCATCACTACACAACCAAACAGCAGGTGCCTTAACACAGAACAGCTTTTGTCTCCTGGTGGATCCTATCCTGTGGTGAGGTGAGCTGGACATCACACACTCCAAATGACCACAGAGTTGTATTGCAGAGAGCTCTCTCCACATCAGCGCCACAGAATGGCAGAAGATTTATTCTCTAGAGACAGTTTTGCTGCAATGAAAAAAAAATGAAGAAAAACAAAAACAAACCTTTTTGTAACAGGTTTACATGGAAATAGTCTTTAGCAGAGAAGCCCAGTGAAAGCAGCAGTTTATGAGCTCAGAATATTAATTAAAATGTATGTCGATAATAATGTGTATGAAAATATTTTCAGTATTAAAGCACCTGAAAGGGAAAGGAGTGTAGTAAGTAATTCATCTAAAAGCTCAACACTTCACAGGTTGTAGTTATTACTACTGTGGCACCATCTAGTGGTCATCCCTTTACACATCATTCTCATACAAAGTCATTTTGTTTGTCAGCCTTAAAGCCATCTGCAATGTTTCTGGGTTGAGATCAGAGTGTCTAAAAAACAATTGTTGTCGTTTGTTCAATGTACAGTAAAAAGCCAAAGAAGCCACAGCGGCGGCAGATGAACAACAGACTGAAGCCTCTGACTCTGGCCTATGATGGAGACGCCGACATGTAGAAGTCTTCCTCCTTACAGACGTACTGTACAAAATTTTGTCCTCACTCAGGACGCAGGGTTGCTGGTAATACCCGTTAATGTCAGGATCATGACTGGACATTGGTCAGCAAATATGCAGACTAAGTTTCTGACAGAAAAAGAAACCGCTGAGCTCAAGACACTACAACTCTGTGTTTATTAGCAGCTTTGATGTTTCCATTTTAACATTTTAAATATAATTTTTTTTTTTTAAATAGCCTTCATGACTTCACTAACTTCCTCTGGAAGTCTGCCTTTGCTTCTTTGATATCTACTACCACAAATTGCATTCAGATCATATTTAGGGGAGAGGAGGAAACCAGAAGAGATTTCCTGTAAAAGCACAAATATTCAGTCATTAGTTGTTCATTTCTTAACAGCTTAGTTGCATGGTCTTTGCTCTTGGTCCTTCAAAGAACATTTTGTCTTCTCTTAGTCATTGCTTGATGGACAGAACTGAAAAGTAAAAATTTCACCAAAAAAAAAAAAAGGAAAGCGAGCCCAAAGGATCCTCGAGCTGCCATCATTCTGCCTGCCTCTCCCTTCTTATTTCCAGGCGTAATTTTGCACTATATTAGTGCAGCATGATATGTACTTATGTCTCGCTTTGCCATATGAAAACTGCCTCTCTCAATACAAGATGATGTACAACTCTTGTGCTAGAAATGTACAAAAATACCTTTTGCTAACAGAACTTAACAATGTTTGATAATTTTTTTGTAATACCTCTTGTATGTTGTACAACAGAATTTTGTAAATAGATTTTCTGTGATTTCACTTTGGCTATCTAATACACAATGTAATGCTCTGTATCCAAATCTCTGTTGTAGCCTTTATTTGAGCAGGTAACTGTGACTTTACATTAGGATTTTTCACCATATTAGGAAATTTAAGTTACATCAATAAAATACCCTTACCCATCTGAAACTGCTAGATTAAAAATATCTCCCTAATCTATACATTTCTGATCAAAATCTTAAGAAAGGGCAGCGCTGTTTGCATTTTGTGCTGGTGGTTTGTAACCAGGTTGTCAGCTGGTTTCTAAATGCAAAAAAAAGAAACAGGAGCAAGAGAGAAAACAAACAATATAACATTTTATTGAATACATAGTAAGTTGCTCCACTCATATCGGAGTTTTTAAATATTCGTCCATCCCCAAAAGTTTTCTGTGGGATTCCATTCAAGATAATGTGCATGACCCAAACGAGGCTCTAAAGACAACAAGCTGCTTTGTCAGGTGGCAGACAGATGAAACCCCAACCCTTCTGGTCATACTGTCCGTTTAAATGACTTCTACTCTAGAGCTGTCTTCACTGAGCTGTATTAAAAAACTACTCATTCACATTGGAAGCCATCAGGTCCATCTAATAACTTTTATTCTCATCAGAAAATGTTAAGATATTCAGCCTTTCAATGGGCTGGCAAATCTAAATGGCCAGGTTTGTAGTGTGGGCTTTGAAGACTTTTATTTTGTTCTTTAAGGCCGTCTCTCAGAAGTTGCCTTTATGATAACTGAACTGTAGTCAGAATTAGTGAGGACCTTAATTTGAGAAGCTTGTGTCTTCACAGGCAACAGAACATCTAGCTCATTGCAGTTGAAACCTCTTTAGGTCTACCTTTAGACTTTTTCGTCCCATAATGTTTTAGAGGTTTATAATGAATCTCTTACTACATCCAGCTTTGGCAGTCATGGCACTTTGTGAGACAAACTTGCTTGCGCAGCTCAACAATCCTGCCACATCCAAAGACAGAGAATGTCTTCCTACTTTTGTCTTCCTGACAAAAGCAGGAATACTTTTGTCAGGACAGAACTGAAAAGTAGGAATACTTTTGTCAGGGGAACTTGACAATGTAATGAAAATGACATGAATACCCAGATTTTAACTGTTTGAGGCAGGTCTGAATAGAATCTTAAACTTTCGACCATCTGATAATTAGATCTGTTTGAGCTTAAATGCAAATTTACCTCTATTGCCCACAATAAGAAGTCTCTTGCTTCTGTGTTTTCATGTTGAACATTGCTGTTCTTGCAGAGGTCATCATCCACCTCTACATGAAATGTGAATACTTCAAAATTCTTAATGTTTTAACCAGAAATGGATTCCAGTTTCAGTTTTCACAAGTTGTTCTTTTCTTTATTTTGTTTTTAGAAATATAGTTGTTTATCTTTGATTACTTTTTCTGCTATTTAAAGGAAACCCATTATGCAAAATGTACTTTCTGATTCCTGCTACTGGAATCACAAACTGCTAATGATGCAGACAGTAGCAGTTTATTTGCATAAAAGTGACAGCAATAAAACAGCTCATTCTGAAAGGAATTCAAAGTAGGCAGAACTAAACAGGTGAAATATCATTGTCTTAAAATGATTTTGTGCAAAATATGTAAAGAACATTGTCTGTTTTGCCCATAGATCAATGTTCTTCAATTCCAGTCCTCAGGAGCCACTGCCCTATGTGTTTTAGATGCGTCTTTGTTCCAGAACACCTGATTCAAATGATAGCATGACCTCCTCTGCATGTCATCCAGAGCTGCAGAAGCCTGTTTATCACCTACTTGTTCCAGTCAGGCATGTGGCAGAAGGAAGCACCTGCAACATGCAGGGCTGGGTCCCTGCGGGCCAGGACTGAGAAACACTGCCACACACCCATTCTATGTTGTTTAAAGGGAAGCAAATAAGGTCCTCTCAGCCATCAGTCTGCCATGTCTGTGCTTTGTATAATACCCATTTATACTTCAATCTGCATTTATAGTCTGTCTTTCAAAGAAATTGCTGCATTTAGCACAAAATTTTGTATGAAAAGACAGATTTTATAGTTTGTAGTAGTTAATTGATAAATGACTGAAGCCCAGTTGGAGGTGTTTAAAAAATTGAAACATGGGATGTTAATGGAGGAGTGTTCTGGTATTATTCATCTTGTATCACAGACAATGTAACCAACAGAAAGCCTTTATGGGAGGGTTTATTGTTAAACTCTAAATTCCTTCAGTAGACAGAGAGGTAATTAATTAAAAATTACATGTTGAACATGTTTTTTTTTTCTCTTCCACATGGCAGTGCCCTTAATTTTAAACAATAGTTTTAAAATACAACTCTTTGCATTCTAAATGGTCTTCCCCAAATACTCAAGTAATCCAAAATATAACAAGTCACTTTGAGGTGGTAGGAAGAATTATATTGTTTTGTGGAATGTGTACATGGAATGTTTAATTTATTTTTTTTCTAAGCTTATTATTTGTAAATAATGGTTTTATTCTTAATTTTATTTATTACTAATGTGACATAATGTTTCTTTTTGTACTGCACATGTTTCACATAAAGGTAATTGAAAGAAAAAACAGGAGTGAATGTGGTTGTAAAAGTGAAAAGCTACCTTGTAAAAAAGTTGCTTCTAAACTTCTCTTTTTCTTTACTGTTTCTTTATATGTATTTGATTAACTACTGATAATAAACAATCAAAAACGTGTTCTGTTATCTTTGAGGTGGATTCAGTCAAACATAATTATGAACTGACATTTATTAGATTTCACAAGCACACCAATTGACCCATAACCATAAACCTTTTACCTCTTCATATACGATACAGCATTTAATCTAGAAGGAAATATGCAAAGTAATGAAGCAGTGCCCAATATAGTCCAAATCAATAATGAAATTTGATTCTGGTTCTGAGGAGCAGAGCAGACTAGAACCAGAAGGCCTGAGTGGACTAGGAGGTGATAGTGGAAGGTAAGCGGAAGGACGTTAGAAGAGGGGTGATGTTCTCTGTTGATTTTAGTGAGAAGTGAGCAGCCGCGTTCTCAGTCTAATTTTCTTAGGCAGTCCTATGAAAATACTGTTGCAGTGATCAATAGAACTTAAGATAAACTCATGGATGAGTTTCTTTAGAAATTGCTCTAAAGAAAGACTTTCTAAAGAAACTCTAAATAATCATTTCCAGTAGACTTTTACTCCTAGAAATGTTCTTTAGGTGTGACCCAAACCAGTCCAGTACTGTAGCAGAGAGTCCGACCCAACTCTTCAGTCACTTCAGTTTAACGGTCAACAGTTGACACACCTCTTTCCTTGTTTTTAGGAGAATTTCAAAGACTGATTATGTTTCCAAACACCAGACTGACTGCACCTGAAATGGATATTTTATTTGCAGAAACAGATTTCTGTAAGTCAAACATTATTTCAGAAAAACTGAATTTTTGTATAAGACCTGAAAACATTGTGGTTGATCTGAATTTAACTATCAGTCTTGTAATTTGCATGCATGAAAAAACATGTGGATAGCCCACCAGAGCTGGTCCTGTAGATCACAGTATCAGTGATCTACATTTGTTCTTTTTAATGGGTTGAAAGAGCCAGAAGGAAACCTGACAGTTTTGTGTTTAATTTTGTGTTTTACTTATTTTGTCAGATAATGATGCCAGCTGCATTGTGACTGAATTGTTTACTTTTTTTACATCATCAGATATTTTATTTAATTTTGTAACATATCATAATAGCATTGAAATAATATAATGTAAATTTGTGTTTCTACAATGTTTTACAAAATATCCTTAGCATGTTTCATCACAATGTCAAAATTCTGTATCTTTTCGAGTGATTTAAATGTGTAGACTATGGGTGTTTTTAATAACATACTGGACTGTTTTATTCATCAACTGTAAATGTAGAGCAGAGAAGAGGAAGGCTCCAGGGGTATGGAGTCTACAATAATATAATGCACCAATAGATGTCGCTAAAACACTGCTCAACTTCCCAGCTTTACCAAGCTATTCACCCAATGGCAGAGCCACTTTATTAACAGTTTAACATTGTTCCATATGTAAATAGTCAAGTGTAAACATTAAAGTAAATATTCATATTTGTTTGATTTTGACTTTTTAGGGATAGGGCTTTAGACATCTATATTCTTTGTACGTTTTTGACTAAGACCACCGTTTGCCTTAAACTTCTACTTCTCGTCTAGAAGTGGGATTAGATAAGATGAGAGTGCTTTGCTGGAGAGGGATGGGTCAGTGGATATTAACCTTTGTCAAAGAATTCTTGCTCAAAACACAAGAAGCTGGGACACAGTGCTTCAACATTCAGACAGTCCAGATTCTGCTGGCTTCTCCCTGCTGCACTTATTCTGTCCTGATGTGCGTGCAGACAATCACATCTGATTATTTCATTCTTCTGTTGGTTAAATTGCTGTCCTCTGCTTGTTTAAATAATGTAATCACCTTTATCATTGGAGTCCATGATTATCATCAGATGTTTGGGAAGTGAAACAGAGACAGGCTACATGGTTTTGGTTGTCTCATCAGTGCTTCACATAATCATGTCTCTGTCTTCCAAATAAATTTCATCTGCCAAGAAAAGGATGTCCTACAGGCTGTGCTAATCAATTAAAGTCATGTTATGACTTTAATTGATTAAAAGGTGACTTCACCACAACCTCAAAAACACAAAGATAAAAAAGAAATATTCAACAGATGGTGGAGAAATCCTTTTTATTTTGTATCAACAAACAGAAAACTATTTTCTTTCTGTATAGATATAACTCTTCACATCTGCCTTTATATGTGGCCTAACATTTTATTTAATTTTCAATGTTTTTTTTGGATTTTTTTTTTTTTTTAGAAATGTATATTTAAATGAATTCAAATGATTTTTTTGTGAAATGCCTCAACATGACTTTTAGTGTTAACAGGTGCTATATGAATAAATAGAACTAAATTGGTCTGTATTTGGATTGTTTTGGGTTGTGATTACTTTTGGTTCTCACGTTTTACTCAATTTGAGATTATGTGTTCTTAGTTTGCTCCATTTGTAGGTTCACTTACACTCAATATTCTTGATTTGACTTTAGTCTTCGATTCAGTTGATCGTTTTGTGTCTTGTTCGGATCCCTGTGTTTTCATCTCTTCATTTCTTTGTCAATTTTTCTCAGCTCCTCAGCACTCCACCAGGGATAAGAGGTGCTGATGAATGGATCATGAATGGCTCAAAATTCAAAGAAAGTAGTATGACAAGGCACTGAGTGGAAAATAACATAAACTAACTGTGTGAGGAACTTAAAACAGAAAATGTTTCAAATGCTAGATGAATTTCAAAATGAAGCTACTAAAATGTTAAAATAAAGATTGGGCTATTGTGTTGTAACATTTAAGCACTTTCTTAAATAAAATTATTTCACTTTACAAAAGTGTTAAAAATGGAGAATTTTATCTCATAATTTGATCTTTCATCTGCTGTTAGGAGATCAAATTCCATTATATTAAGGCTTAAAAGTGGAATAGATTTCGGTAACACTTTATTTGAAGGGGTTGAATAAGACTGACATGACACTGTCATAAAAACCTGTC